TATAAAGCAAAAACTTTCAAACGCCCTAGATCCCTTATTTTAGGGGCCAACCCCTTTTAAATGATATTAAATGAAAGTTCTTGCAATTATGCACAGCTTTTATTCAACATGTCTTAACAAAATATTTTTAGTTTCCAAGATAAAAAGGAAAATACGTGTTAATTTTCGCTCTTTTAGGCGTTCTAATTTTTGACCCCTGTATAGCGCCATTTTGAATACAGAAATCAAAAAACAAAAACCGATGTGCACAACTTCAATCCTTCTGTTATCTAAAACCAGTAACATTTCTGCTCCAGCTTTTGTGGTCTTTGAACCTTTATCAGGAAATGAAAGCCTATAATTTTTCAATTAAAGGGAAATAACTCGTAAGCGGAAGTAAATTTTTGAAATGTTAGACAGCATTCTGATAGAGTTTATTACCGTCTATAATGTCTGAAAATTTGAGCAAAATCCATTGAGAAATGAGTGAGATGAGGCCCCAAATTTGGCGTCTTAGGAAGAAAAAAAGAATAATAAGAATAATCTTAATCATCAGAATCAGTAGAAGGTCTTCCGTTGGAAACGGAAGACCTTAATTCAGTAAAATATTCAACCTTTGCAACTATAGTCAATATTTAGCGAGAGTTTTTTTTGGTTTATTTCATTTTTTGGTACGTTCCACGTTTAGACAAATAACACGACATAAGATAAAGAAATGGATCTGACTCTTTCTGACCTAAGGAAAAAAACATAATTGCTAAATTCCAAACGTATATATTACGCTTCACAAAATCGTTTGAAGTGCATAAATATTATTTTAAAACACACATATTCTAAATATAGTCATAATTGGATGGTTGATGTCTATCTAAAGAACAAGATTTTTAGTTTTTAACTCCTGAAAACACATCAGTTAAAATGCATGTTTGAGTAGTTGGACATTTAATTTTTTAGTTAGTATGATTGTATTTATATTTATTGATAAGTTGTAGTTGGCAGTTAGCTCTTCAGATCTAAGGTTCCTCATGGACATAATAGATTTTAAATGAAAATAATATTTTTTTTATCTATTTACGAGGGTTGATCCAAAAGTAATGTCACAGCTTCGATAAAATCGCTATCCGTCGACGTAAAACAACAAAATTATAAATGATGAAAGCTACATTTATTTCAAATCAGACCTGAAAATTTCAAATCAGCATGATTTATACTTTTCAAAATATCGGATTATATACAACGTGCGATTATGGTAGTCGCCGCAGCTAAATAACGTCATATGAAGGATACGCGCAGTCATACATTTAAACGCTTCCCTTCGTTTCATTAAAAAAATTTGAGATTTGATATCCACGAACACGTTCACAAATTTCACTTTCTTACCCTTAGTACCCATCGTACACGCATTTTTTTCATAATTAATTCTATCAAAATTCATTTGTAAAAGACCAACTTAAAATTTCAGATATCGCTCTAGCCGTCGGTCTATTTGACAACGTCACGCACCATTGAACATTTTCCGCCCTCCCATCTTTTGGTTTTCTTGTCATCTGCCATTTAATGACCCATCACCCACCGAAAATCGCTGAAACCATCTTAAACAAGTCTCTTATATACATTCTTTCCTCGAAAGTCTGGTGAATTAACTGTCTTACTATCTCCATTTTGAAGTAAAAAATTACAGTTTGTTTTGGCTTTTTTGTCCATTTTGACAATTCCTTTTTTCAATGCACCGGAAAAAAATCAACGATGTTTAAAAAAAAAATTGATGATGTCATATGATTTTCAATTTAAGACTAGAAAATGAAAATTTTTTCTTTTAAAGTATTTTGCATTTAGCGCGCTTTTTAAGTGTTTATCTTTTTTATACTTAAAAAAGTACACTTTAATTTTAAGTGTTTATCTTAATTTATACTTAAAAAAGTACACTTTAATTTGAACAGTTGCGGCCATCCCATCTTTTGGTTTTGAAAAATTGTAAATTTCTGCTGAGCATTATAATGACCCATCACCCACCGAAAAATTAATACATTTACAAATTAAAAGATATTCTGTATACATTCTTTTGAAATCTGGTGAATAATATTTAATAACTGTCTCTACTGGCGATTTCTCCATTTTGAAGTAAAAATGCATTACAGTTTGACATTGGCTTTTTTGTCAAATAAAAATTTTGACAACCTTTTTTCAATGCACCGGAAAAAAATCAACTGATGTAATAAAAAAAATTGTTGATGTCATATGATAGTTCCTTTAAAATTGTAAATTGACAATGTAAATTTTTCAATATTTTTAAAGTATTTTTAGTATTTGGGGGGGGGGGGGGTAGCTATTTAGACGCTTTTAAAAGATGCTTTTTGAAGTGTTTAATCTTTTTTAAAACTTAAAAAATTTAAATCTATAATATGTCAAGTTCGAAAATTTGACGCGGCGAGTTCTAAATGGACCGTTATCTTGTAAAATGATAGTTTTCCGTTTAAACATCTATAAAATAAATTCAGTTAAACATTATTGAATGAAAAATTAAAGTTTAATTAAATTTATATTTGTGCATCTTTTGGTATATAATATTTAATAATATGACGCCAAATATAGATATGGACACTGTGACATTACATCAACCCTTAGCAGGCTCAAATAAAAAAATCCCTATATGGTCTATTTTAGTCGTATAAATAAGCGTGCAATCTGAATAACGTAATAATAAATTGTTTTTGTGATAGTTCCTTTAAAATTGTAAATTGACAATTAAATTAGTCAATATTTTTAAATGATTTCATTATCGTTAATAAAGACAAGGTAGTAAATTTAATTTTGAATTTGTATCCCTTAACTTCGTTATGTAAAATTTAAAAAAAAATCTATAACTATGCCCAGCCTCAAAAAAGAAAATATTAAGCAGTTTAAATGGACCGTTATGTAAAATGATAGTTTTCCGTTTGATCATGATTTCAAGATAAAAATTAACATTTAACAAACACAGGTGTTATGACCTAAATGGAATTGTAATATTTTCCACGGAATGGACTTGGACGAGGTTTAAATATACACTGATGATGAAGATACTCTGACCAGCTTTATATTTACATTTAAATAAAATTCACACTTTTCACAAATCTATTTTGTAAGGCTGCTTTTCTATCAGAAATATGCAGGTGTGAATTAAAATGTAAACAAATGAATAAGCGCGTTGGGTCAAAAATACAGTTGACAAAAAATATCAAGAAATTTCTCTTTACTATTAAAGAAATCAAACCACATTCATGGCACAGATATTTTAAGTTTAGAGAAAATTTAAACATCAAAGTACAGGCAATGGACTTTCCTTTTATTTTTTCTTCGTAAATACATGTACCAATTAATTCTTTCAAAGCATATATTGAGGGAATCCCAAACGTAATGTTATTATCATTTAGCCTCCAGGCAGTACTAAAAATTTACCTTATGCACTTCTTAACGTTTGATTATGAAAGTGCGTATATATAAACAGGTAAATCAGAAGAGTTTGTTTTTTAATCTGTTAATGACAATTGTATTGAAAAGGTTGTCTAACCCTAATCAAACTAAAGATAATTGAAACCTTGATTTTGTTTTCAATTGACAAGGAGTGTTTCATTTTTTGCAAAATTTAAGTTGTTATAGATTTCTATACTTTATCCTCTAACATGTCAAATTCTGAATACAATACACATGAGGTCGTGTAAACAAACTGAATATTTTAATGAATCGTCACTTATTTAGTGGGACTTTTCTTTTTTACGTCAAAATTCTTTTGCACAATATGTTAATTCTATAAGAAATCAAATTTTAATCTATTGATGTATAGCTGTAGATTTTTTTTTTGAAATTTTGCTCTGGAATCCTATATAAATAAGCAAGGGCTTTGAAATCCCAATATTACGCGAGAAACTGAGATCTTGTTCGTTTTATCTTTTGTATTTGTAACCTGTTTTGCCTTCTCTATGGCATGTACATGTTTCCCTCAGAACCCTCAAGTAAAATTCTGTAACTCTGGCTTAGGTTACGTGTTTATTATACCGTAATCACAAATGTCAATGTTGTTAAAATATTTCTTGTATATATTTTAGGTTTAAAGGTATACATTTGATCTATATATCACTTTTACAGAACAGTTACGGTCCAAACCTGGGAAGAAGATCAATATACACTGCCTCTAACAGTGCTGCCTGTGGATCTTACTTTGAATTGAATCAGACTTACATCATAGCGGGTAAGTTTATTTAAAAAGGAGTTTCATACACTGATATAAAAACAGTTATGAGCGTGAAGTAAGCTGGACATTGCTGAATGCTGGGATCATGACAAAATTATGAAATTTCATGACATAAAGTTTTGCTTGTTTTTATGCCTGTTTTTTTTTATCTAAAAGGACATGTAAATTCTATGTAAATTCTAGTTAGAGAGATATGTCATTTTATTTGCAGAAAGTATATTGTGTGTATCATTATGTCAACAAGTTATAAGTTACTAAAAGTTACCAATTGAAAATAAGCCACACTGGCTTTCATCGGCTATCCCTTGCCTTAGGTATCTGCAATATATATTTATTTATGATGAAAAATATGGAATTTATGAACATTATTCAGGCTCAAACATCATTAAACAATAAAATTAGGACCGGTGCAAACACGGACCTGCAAAACATAAGAGGTTTTGGAGTTATAACGTTAATTCAATCTTTCTTATGAAATTTATGTTTTACAGTTCATTTCTTATACCATGATCACCCCCTTTTTTTAATATATGTATATCAATTATACCATACTCATGTACATTTCCTATTCGTGAAAAAGAATAGATAAAATAAAAGGAAATAGACTGTTACTGTTTTTAAAACAAAATTTCATTATTTTCATTTCATCAGAAAAATAATTGTTTAAGGAAACTTTCGTTAATAAATTGTTGATCTCATGATTAAAACTGTTTGTTAAAAAAGAAAAGAAAAGAAAGCTTATACCGTTGTAACTAAAGAAGCAAAACCGCATTATTCAATCATGCTGCCACATTATCAAGAACAATCATGTATATTCATGAAACCTTTATCTTCCTTGCTATGATTTTGTTATTCATAATTGGGAGGCATACGAAGTGGAGTTTAACTACAGGTTTATTTGATCTAAATGATATTGATCTTTTTTAGGAAGCATTCCAAGAAGAGGGGTTTGGACTACAAATTTCTGTGCTCTTTATTATTTGTATAAATCTATCTCAAAATTTCAAAGAGAAGCCTTTAAACGTGGAATATACAAGAGAAATTGTGGCTGCAATGTAGGTAAACATGATATATTTTTTAGATATTTTCTTTTTAAGGCAAAGCGATTTTGGTTATATATTAGGTGTTGTACAACCAACTTTTGCTTCCATATTAAATAAGTTGAGATAAAAACTCTTAATATAAAAGTGTAAATACATTAACTGTAATTAAAAGATTACTTATATTCTAAATTTTACTAAATAGAAGTAACAACATACAAAATGATGAAATTAAAAAATAATGAGGTTTTAAATCTGTAACAGACATTGCAAACATTGATGTTTTTAAATTATATTTCATACGATTCTGATATGCAAACATACTTTAAAAAATATATTAGTTTTCATATTATTTTTCAGGTTGTTGACTGCACTGGCGTATTCGGTGAAAGAAAGTGTTTATTCCAGCTACACAACCAGTGTTTCATAAGATTAAATAGAAATTGCTGGTACACTCATAATGCTTGTACACAATCAAGGTACGGATGTGACTGGGACACCCGTTCTTGCCGTGGGTCATATAAAGGAGGATGATAAATGTCAATTACTCAAATGAAAAAGTAATGGCGATCGAATACAGAATAGGCTTGACAGTAACATGAAGTAAAACAATGAAAAATGCTGTCAATTTTCCTTCCCCTGGTTTTAATCCAAACAGCCTCATTATCTAAAAAGAAACATAAAGTGAATTTTGAAAAATGAAAGCTTTTAAGTTGTTTTTTTTCCAATTTTCTAACCGATAATCATCATCCCAGCTGAGTAACCAGATGATCGATGGCGACATGACTGAGCAGACTTTTATCAGTAATTTATGTGATTACAAAAGACTTGGATGCAATGCTTTGATTTATGTACTTTTAAAAAATAAAGTAATGTATTTGATATATATCGACAGTTTGGTTTTATTTATCAAATTTAGGTACGCTTCAGAAAAAAACTGTTTCCTGTAATGGCTTAATCTTAAAAAAGTAAATCAATACTCAATAATTCTTCTTCATAGGTATTTTTAATATCTTTAGTATGTTAGATATTAAAACATTTAACTATTTTTTTCCTTGGTGTAGAAAGACAAATTCATGTTCATAACAAATAAAATATCAAGATAATTATCAATTAAGGGTTTTTTTTTCCATTACACTCACTAGAAAGCATGATTAACCCATTGTCATGCCCAATCACGAATTCGAATTATATTTAAAGTAAAAAAAGTTTAGAGAAATTTGACGACATTAAATAAAGTAATGACACTGATATTTTCTCACTTAAAGAAAAAACAAAATTACAAAGTTCAAAACTTATATTTTACTCTTAAAGAAAATTGTTTTAAGTACATTAAAATAATAACAATAGATACGTTTGTATACTATTCTGAATAATATTTTTTCATTTTTGTGTGATTGCTTTCCATCTGAAGATCTAGTATTTACATTGAAGATCACTGAATATCGCAGATAGTGCTATTGGAACACTAGCTTTTCTGTCATTTCTAAGTCTGTCTTAAATGTGATCGACACATACTGTAGCTGTATACTGTATAAAGCATATTTTCCTGTGACATACGCTGAAGGAGATACCTTATAAATGGAAAGAAGAAGGTATGGATTTAGCTTTATTGTGCCCTAAAATGTAATGTCATCAAAAAGTTTTCAAACTGCCTTAAATATTAGTTAAGTATATGATTTTGATAAATCAGGAAAGAATAAGGCACAAAGAATTACCATTCTGCAAATATGGCGTCATAAATGTGATGCTTTTTTTGTATTTTTAACAGAAAAAGCCTCAAATTAGCCATTTTCAAGGGTAATTTTCCTTTAGAAAATAATGTCCACAGCCGTCGCCCACTTTAATATTTTGATATGTTGTGCAAATAACAATAAAAAATCACATATCTCAAAATCTTTGTGGGCGATGCCTGTGGACAATATTTTCTGATAGAAAATTCCATTGAAAATTGGAAACATGGAAAATGCATATGTTTATGACGTCACAATTAGCATTTAAAAACACGTGCGAGAAAAATGATTTGTATGATTTTCTGCATGGAATTTCAATGATTCAGAAAGCATTAGTTTTCATCTTTGACACCAGATTTTATTTTTTAGAAAATCACAGGGCAGGATTTGTCAGAAACCATTCCTTGTTCTTTAGCGAGGAGCAAATTGACGATGTCCTTAAAAATTGGTATTTTATTTTTAGCGAGATGCGATTTTATCGAATTTAAAAAGCTCACTAAAGAAGCTTTTTCAAATAAATCGCAATTTATTTTTAGCGATATTTAATTTAGGCGATCTTTGTACCTTCGCTAACAATGCCAAAATTTCCTCGCTAAGAATTCTGCTTATACGGTATTTGGAAAGTCATTCTTCTAGACCATTTTCATTAATTATATTTCAATCAACTATTGATAGAAAATATACAATCATTCGGTGTTGACATTCTGCCTGCTCTGTAGACTACCCAACAAGGAATGGTCGGTTCAATATTCTGCCTGACCTTTAAAATTCCCAACGATTGGTTGAGTATTCTACCTGATTGCTATATATACTTAAATTCTCGACCAGAATCTTCTAGAATAAAATATAAGGATATAACAAACAGTATTCAAGCTCAAAAGTCCATTTAGCAATACAAAATAAGAGCAGTGCAAACATGAACCTGCAAAAAATCAGAGGTGGGATCAGATTCCATGGAAGAGTTAGCATCCCCTGCCGACCGGTCACAATTACTATGTGCTCCTTGTCATGATCTGAAAAAACGGGAAAACTCATCGACAATTTTGTGTGTATATAATGGCCTAACAATTGGTATGAAAAATGTCAGTCAGCATTTGACTAAATGATAAATTTAAACGAGACTGCTGATATTCTGTTTAAGCAACTTCTTTGTTTATAATTACCTCCTAGATTGAGGTATTTCATTGTTTTAGTAGTATGGTATTTTAAAGAACTATTTATTTTTAATTTTGTATGATGGTATTTGTACGTAGGGAGAAGGATATGGATATAACGAACTATATTCAATCTCAAAGTCCATTAAACAATACAAAATATAGGAGCAGAGCAAACAAGACCTCCAAACCATCAGAGGTGGGATCAGGTGCCATGGAGAAGTGAGCATCCACTGCTGACCGGTCACTCCCGCCGTGTGCTCCTTGTCATGGTCAGGAAATTACGGAAAAATCTGTCGTCAATTCAGTGTATAAATAATGGACTAACAATTGGAATGAAAAAAGTCAGTCAGCATTTGACTCAATGATAAATTGTATTTGCTGACAAGACCATAAAACTTACGAAATGATGACTTAAAGAGACTGCTGATATTACCGTTTCATCAACTTGCTTGTCAATAATTTATCTCGTTTTAGAAATTGTTCATACGTAGAGTATGCTCTTGCGTAACGAATCAACTGAGATATATATACTCCGTATACAGGTGATGAGGGTATACTGCTGCCTAAGTAAGGGAAGTTGACGATAGAAAAACGTGATGATAATTTGAAGTCGGATAATTGTTCTTCAGATCTAATGTTTCTTGTTGATTTACTCGACTTATGTCTTCTATTAGTTTTTGATATTATAGACAGCTGCTTTTTTATAAAAATGGAACTCGTAAATTTACTTACCTTGTCCTTGGTCATTTGCAAATTTATTTTGTTTAAAAACAAACTGATTGTACACGCAAATATTTTGATGTTGACATTAAAGATTGCTTTTATTTTGCATGATTGTATTTATATGTGATGATAATTAAAAGTCGGAAAAATGTTCTTTATATATAATGTTTTGTACCTGCATATCTGTACCTCGCTGGTCTAAAAGAAATGTCCTCTACGACTAGAGAACTACAGTACCACCCATTGAAAAAAGTTTATATTTATTGCGTGTACAAAAGTTCGGTGTTTCTCGATTTCTTTCTCCGAATTTTTACGCTGTCATCTCAGAAATATTTCTAACCGTTTGTTTCTAAACTATTCTTAAACTATTTCTACAACATAACATTCTCTAAGACTGTCAATAATAGCCCTCCTGGACCTTAATACGAGAACATCGAAATTCTAGCCATTTTGGATGGCAAGATAATTCGGTCCACTTCGAACTAAGTTTGGCAATGTTAATTTTTATCACAAGAAGAATGTGACCTTAAGTTATGCGATAAACCGTGTGAGCTTAAAAGTGCAGGGCATTAGATACCTATTGACTTATCCGACTGTAAATAAATATTATCTTATTTTATCTATTTATCATCTTTAAAAAGTAATAAGAAAAATTTCCCTCTATATTTTAATGATAAACCAAGACTTTTTTTTATATAAGTTTCAGTTATAATTGTAGATAAGCAATTAAATAGTTAATATTTATGCATGGCTTCATTACACGCTTATCAAGACAAGGTGGTAAATTTTAATTCTAATAATGTAACCTTTACCTGTACCTTTGTAATGTAAAATTCAAAATATTTGCTCATCTTGGTCATGCCTATGAAAAGAAAATATTTTGGAATTTAAGGATGTACAACACACCTACCCCAAAAAATTCCTGTCGTTTAATTTTCGTTATTTTTGTATATTTAGTACATGACTATATCTACTGCATGTATGCATATTTTGGACAAAATAGTTAGAGTGGTTTTTGGAAAGGAAAATCCGAAATTTACCCCCCTTTAGTTGTTTACAAGGAGAGAAAAGTTTTAATCAATGAACTACTTAAACCTTGATTTTCAAAAAAGCCGGGTTAGATATAAATGTCAAATTTCATTGGCTTATTCCTTTAACCATTTAACACAAAAACATAGTCATCTTTTTGATATACATATCATCAAAATAATTTTTAAAGGCCTTAAACTGAAAAACTATGAATGATCTAAGCCTTGAAAATTGCGTATTTTTCAAATTCAAAATTTTTTTGTGAAAAAACCTGTCGTTTAATTTTGGTAAAAAACTTTCTTTAGGTAGCTGGTAGTAAAAATAATCTTAATAATTTTTTGCATAATTTTTGTACGACCAGTTTTGATTTAATAGCGGAAAAATTACCCCCTCCCCCTTTCTCAATAAATCACGTTCCCGCGCGTCTTTCCGACCGCGGTCGATCACTTTGTTATATGAATCTACAAATACACATTAAAAAATTCAATTGGAATATTGCTTTTGCTTCAAAAATATATTAACTAACAAATTTAAAAGTTCTTATATGTAAAGCTTATTTAAATGTAGATTTTTAGGCAATTTTTGAATACCCCTATCACCCCCACCCCTTCCTTTTTTGCGTCGCAGACCATTAGCGTTTGACGAAATGTTTACAGTGCAAATATACTGGTATTTCGTCATTTGAATCCCGGAGGTACGCATTAGTTTTTAAATTCATGAATGCAGAATAAATATTGACTACTCTTTTTATATGTATCAGGAAAAAATTACTGAAGGATTTTAGTGTTTAGTTCATATATGTATGCGTTAAGCATTCCATATCACATGAAACCTGGATACCAATTCAAGTTTTGTTGAACTTGAATATGTTGATTTTTAATTTTATTTCTTTAATTTTATTCATTAAAAAATGATGTATGTTCAACTCTCTTGTGATATAAATGGAATAATTGTAGTTTCTTTCATGTCATTATTTCAAACGAGACAATGTGGCCGCTGGGATAAAATTACACCCCTCATGATATTGTACATGTATTCAATGTCGTCGCTTCTA